CTTTCGGTGGCAGGTAACTGCCGCATGTGTCTGGTGGAGGTGGAGAAGAGCATCAAGCCGGTGGCCAGTTGTGCCATGCCCGTCATGCCTGGTAACGGGAGTTTCTACTGTTTGTGCCATTTCCTAGGATATTGCTAACACTCTTTTTTTCAATAGGCATGCGAATCAAGCCCAACTCCGAGTTCTCGAAGAAGGCCCGCGAGGGCGTCATGGAGTTCCTGCTGCTCAATCACCCGCTCGACTGTCCCATCTGCGACCAGGGCGGCGAGTGTGACCTGCAAGATCAGTCGATGGCCTTCGGCTCCGACCGCTCCCGTCTGCGCGTCGACCTCGATGAGAAGCGGGCGGTGGAGGACAAGGACATCGGGCCGCTGGTGCGCACCATCATGACGCGGTGCATTCAGTGCACCCGCTGCGTCCGCTTCATGAACGAAATTGGCGGCTGTGCCGACCTGGGCACCAGCGGCCGCGGCGGTGACATGCAGATTGGCACCTACCTGGAGAACACCGCCCTCCTCAGCGAGCTCTCCGGCAACATTGTGGACATCTGCCCGGTGGGCGCGCTCACCAACAAGCCGTACACCTTCCACGGTAACGTGTTCGAATTTGCTGTACCAAGATCGTCCGCTAAACCTCTTTCCCCTCTCTCTCTCTCTTTCTCCTAGGCCGTCCGTGGGAGCTGCGCCGCTACGACTCGATCGACGTCCTCGACGCCGTCGGCTCGAACATCTCCGTCTGCCAGCGATCGGGCGACCTGCTGCGCATCATCCCCCGCCTCCACGAGGACATCAACGAGGAGTGGCTGGCGGACAAGAGCCGCCACGCGCCGATTGACGGGCTGAAGACGCAGCGACTGACCGTCCCCATGCTCCGGCCCAGCTCCGGCTCGCAGCTGCAGGAGTGCGACTGGGAGGACGCGCTCATCTCGCTGGCGCAGACGATCAGCCATGTGGAGCCGTCCCGGGTGGTGGCCCTCTTTGGGCCGCACACTGACGCCGAGACGATGGTCGCCGTGAAGGACTTCTTCAGCTCCATTGGTATTGCTTTGTAGCTTGCTCTTCTAAATTGCTCTAATTCCCTCCTCTTCTTATTCCCCCCCCCCTCAGGCTCTGACCAGCTGTACGTGCACGTGGACAGTCAGCTGGATTCCTCAGCGATGCCCTCCTCGAAGGACCTCGACCAGCGCTACAACTACCTCTTCAACACGGGCAT